AGCGGTGCACAAAGGACATAAACTTAGAGACAGACTCGTAGAGTGCAGGATTCAGTAACTCCACACCGGAAATGAAGCGGTAGGAAACCGAGAGGAGGGCCTCCACAGGCCACTCGTGGAACCAATCAATGCTGGTGCAATTGACCAGGGCAGGGAAGCGTCGTGCACGGACACGCAGCGTGGAACCCACCGGCGAGAAACAGAGCACGACCTTGAGCATTCGTCGCACCTTTTCTATGAAGAAGGACCAGCAGTTCTCGCGGGTGTCCATCAGGCCTGATACCTTCACATCGCCACGCATAGCGCTGAGAATGGTTTCAACCTCATCGTCCGGGAAGAGGTCTTGAACTTCGCCTGAAGCGAGCAAGTCGTTCACGAGGACCAGGAATTTTTCATCGGCGATTTGCGCATCAGTGAGGAGGAATACCGAGCTGATGTTTTTCAGACCTGCTCTCTGGTAGAGGACAGCAATATCGGCCTTCAGATCTGAAATAGCATAACCCTTGCGGAGGGTAATTTGGAAGACCTCCAGTGAACTGATGAAGGCAGCCAGTCGAGAGAGCGACTGCTTCCCAGAGCCACCGATGCCAACGAGAAGGGCGTTGCCTCGGGGTGCCTCGAGAATGCGATTAATACGCAGAATGTGTGCAATTGCATCCTCAAACAGGACCAGATTCATGGCGGCGTTCAGTTCATTGTAGTTCTCCAGGGTATCTGTGAGGATCTTGGTGATGGCAGCGTTGTCAGCAACAGGCATGTACAGCGGCTCGCCGATCCCCTGGGCAAAATGACAGTAGAGCAGGGGTTGGCGGAAGAGGACATCGTCCGGCATGTCGAAGAAAGTCTTCTTGACAATCTTTTGCATCAACTTCTGGAAGGTTTCATTGTCTGACTTTTCGGTCATCTTGTCGGAGTAGACGCGTTGGGCCTCATGGATCCACAGGCGCACTATATCCGTCGGCGTCTTCAGGCAGGCAGGTTGGGCGAACAATAGGCCCTAAAATAGAGGCGCAAATTTGCATCAGACAGAAGTTGACTTATGCGGGGTTATAAAATCTCAAGTAGACGGCGAAAGACAGCCTAAACGGACTCAATCGAAAGGAGGGATATGCTGCGTTGAGATGCATATGAGATGACGTCTACGATCCATCCTGCTAATGGGTCACGAAAACCGTGATCACATTCAATTCCAACTGCTTCACATGGATGCCCTACACTTGGGTACAATAACGCAAACTTACGTTGCGTTGACAACTTATCGGCTACTGAAATAGCCTTTCTGCGGGACTTAATTGAGAATACAGTCCTCTGAAAGGACAAATGGGATCAACAAAAACGGTTATATTCTACTACCTCCATCATTCACACACGGTAAATACTTGAGGTGAAAATGCACCGATATCTTAATCCATTGAGTGGAGTCTATTTGCTCTAGTTGCTGCGAGTAACTTTTTCCTAATGACCTACTTTTCTGTGGCCTTTCTAAAAAAGGGGACGTAAATAAGTTAATGGAAATAAAAAACTTCCCTGTTATCTCCATTTTGGTCAAGGATAGGCTTTAAAAACGGATCCACTGAAAGGAAAGATTACTTTGAGAATGAATGTTCTAATTTTCCGGCTTCAGTGTTAACCGGGTAGTTGAACGATTGTCAGATATTCTCAGCCTACCAGAAAGTTGCTTAGTCTACAGCAAAACCTCGGTTAACGAGTTTAATCCGTTCCGGCACCGAGCTGGTCACAGGAAACGCTCGTGGAGGAATCAGAGCCGCCTACTATCTCTAAGGGAAACATGCATGGGCGTGAAGCAAGACAGGGTGAGACACGGGTCAACGCGATACAACAGACAGTCAGCGCGCGTGTGGGCGAAACAAACAGTACTGTGGGCGGTCAACGGGGATACAAGGTACTCGTAAGACGTGAACCACACACATCGGCTCAGCCGGTATTGGCAGAACACGTACACGAAAAAAGAACAGCACGTAACGAGAACCATGAGCCGGACTGTTCAGTCTCTGAAGATGGGTCGACGAAACAACTGCCGAAACGCCAGACACACAATAAACCTCCCCCGGTGGACGCTCTTCTTACTTCTGTCTTAGTAATATACAAGTGGTACAACTACCATCGAACTGTGACAAATAAAGAGGACTTAAAATGTATGCTATTGGATGACGGCTCCCTCAATGACCGGCGCCAGTGCAATAGAACACATACTGTATTATGACGGTTAGGTCGTCTTTGCTGACGACGTTCACTGTGTGCCCCACAACAGTGTGAACACGGTAATGCGACGCGCGAGCAGGCGTGAGTTATTTTACAGCGATAGTACAAACTTGCATGGCATCTACCACACCCTCTCCTACCTGGACCCGGTGTCATGATAAAGGCAATGTGACCGGAGGCGGGATCGGGCGCAAGTGGGATTATGACAGTTTGAACGTTCTATCTGACGAGGTCCACCGTCTGATCCACGGCCTAGCGGCGAAGGGACGATGACTAGTGAATTGACTAGTTTTACGTGATAGAAGACTTGCACTGCATCTGCCACACGCTCTCCCCCCT